GAGACGAGCGCACTAACCATGAGGCGACCGCGCCTCCCATAAATGGTAAACGGTGTTTTTATTTTTTCATAGAATTCTATGTGATTCACCGAAAAAAAAATCAGGGGAAAAAAATTTGATCATAATACCACTTTAAAACTACATATTTTACCTCGAAGCTTCGCATCTCGGACAAATATTTGTTTTACGAACATCAAATTTCCGCGGGGGTAACTATCAGCCGATGGTTCCTCGACAGAAACACTCTGTTGTTAGTAGCTGTCGGTCGTCCACGAAATGCGACGTTTTTATTGTTTTTCCGAAGTTTTGGAACAAAGTTTAGATGTAAATGAATAAGTAAATACCTGAGAAGATTAAAAGAAGGACATAAACGGATTCTTGACTTTTAAAAACTTGAATTTATTGAAAAAAACCGGTGCGCGCGCTTAATCAACTGCAAGGGCAATTCAATAGGTGCGATTTTGTTAAATTGTAAAGTTCAATAATGCGTCGAAAAATATTTGGAAACCATAATTTGCGTTAATTAGAATTGTACTAAAACAATTAGATTATTCGCTTGATTCGAATAGAGGCCTTCGGCCTCATCGACTATCACCTCACAGGGAGCCCTCACATCCGTTTAGAATATGAATAAAAGATTAACCTACCTTTATCCCGCGTGTTTTGTGTTTTGTGGCGGCCATGTTGAATTTTTAATACGCACGTGGTCTGCTAGTGCGAGGTCTGGAACCGAAATTACGGAAGTCTGGGACGGGCGGGAAAATTCGCAAATTCTCGGAAATGGCCGCCACAAAACACAAAACACGCGCGATAAAGGTAGGTTAATCTCTTATTCATATTCTAAACGGATGAGAGAGCTCCCTGTGTCACCTCATAGAAATCTCCAGCTCATAATCTAATTGTTAAATAGTATTTAGTATTGCGTTTACAACAAGATTGCGTGATGGCTTAATTCCTTTCTCTTATTGTCTCTCAATCAATGTCTTAGTTTAGACAGTTTCATGGCTGGGTTATAGGGGATCATATATTGCATGTAACCGGCCTTCATTTCCGAGGGGGTACTACAGAAGCCGATAAGGGACAATCCCAAAATATTTACGAAATCTGACAAAAATATTTTAAAAATCCGAAAAAATATTTCAAATCGTAATGTTTTTTGGAAATCATCGTTGAAGAGTTTATCATATCTCAAAAACTATTATTTTCTCAATAAATTATTGAATCCACAAATATTATTTTGCAAATCCCAAAACAGTTTACAAATCCTAACCCTAACCCTAACCCTAAACCCTAACCCTAAAACCCTAAACCCTAACCCTAACCCTAA